TTTACTTTTTACCATAAGATTTTATTAATATCCATTTTACATTATTCTGTGATACAGGGCTAATAAACACACATCTTCATTGTTTATGTACATTAAAGGCACATAATGTAGACACACACTTGTAATTTTTTTCTAAATAATCAAGTATTTAATTTAATGTACATCATTATAGTGAACCACAAGTTGATCTGCAGTGACCAACTTTTAGAATACATACTATAATTTTGGGAAAATAATATCACATGTATGTTACAAAGGCAATGAAAACTTTGCAAACAGAGGCACTTGATATTGTATATGTCTAAATGAAAATAAGAGCATATCAAGAAAGTATATAAAGACATTCTTCAAAATGAACACAATCCTTCATAGTAAATTCACTTCTAACTAAAAAAATAAAAACTAAAAATAAGTTCCATTTAAATGAAACATGATTTTTAAAAACAGTGAAATTATGACTGATCACATTCCAAAAATGGTTTAATTGAGGTTTTAATGATGACGGGCCCCAAAAAATCCCTGCACTTTTTTCCATACTTTTTGCTTTTATCACAGAAAAGAATTAGCAGATTACAAATAGAACCATAAGTACCAGTCACCGTATGATAACGATGCAAATTGTAGCGTCATTTAAAAGGAGAACTACGGGGATAGTGAAAAAGTAGGTAGAATTACTAAAATTTACTGAACAGTTTCAACAAGAGTGGGGGTAAAGAGCAGAATTATCCATATGATATGATCAAGAAAAAAGTAGAATATTTTGTGAAGAGATTGTAGAAGAAATTTGAAAATTAGAAGGGAAAAATATACAAACTATACAAAAAATAAAACAACACTGAACACAACACAAGAGAGAAAAAGGAAAAGTGTGAAGCAACTGTGATATGTAAAGGGTAAACCTAACAGAATTACTTGGCTGTGAAGGGAAATATAATAGACAGCTATGCTCAGAGACTGATACAGGTAAAAGAAATTATTAATGCTGTTTGGTGAAGAAATATAGCATATGGTTGTATTACAGTAAATAATAAACTTGCATCAGGGGATAAACAGTAAAGGTGCTGGACATGCATTTTGCAACTTAGTTTGCAGAATGTGCAAGAACCTCAGTCTCCCACAAGTTCCCTTCAGTACTAATGCACCACAAGTTCCCTTCAATACTAATATACACTGCTGTGTGTACCATCTCATACTATTTTACTGGTGCTACAAATGGTAGTAAAACATACATGGAATATGATCAAATGTCCTTTTCTCTGCAAGTGTAAATGAAATATAATAAAATGTTCTGTTCTTTTTCTGTGAGTGTCTAAACTGGAGAGTAAAACACATCACAAAGTTTAAGAAAATGCCATTTGGATGCTCAGCATTTATTTACATTTGTTGGACTTTGTGTTTATATATATCACTGGGAATTAGAATTTGTTCATCAAACTAGTCCTACATTTTTGGTATAAAGTTTTATGCTGTTACTTTCCACTATTTATGTATATTACAAACCTGAATGAAAATGTCATGATACTAAAAATGTAAGATAGCTGTGTGTGTATATTCATATATATAAAATTATCCACAGTTTCTAACAATTGAGATTTGTAGAAATTTAGCATTTTTATATAAGCTACAATTATACAGTTCACTAATAAAAGAAATTTTACAAGAGAAAGTTAAAACAAAGTTTTAATAAAAATGAAAAAAAACATAAGCAATACACATTACCGCTTTATAATGAAAATTATTATATCCATTTGGAACCTTGACAAACCTGTATATCCCATAATCTATGACTAAACATACTTCTTGTCAAAAAAGATATTTACAGATTATATACACAGCATCTATATGTTATCTTTGCTACACTTATAATCCTTATCTTTTTTTTTTTTTTACATCAGTACATGAAACAAGGATCTTTGTAAATGCTTTATTACAACACAGTTTTGAAGTCTTTAGTCATAGCTGTTTGCTTTTCACATCAAGCAGTTATGACACAAACAACTTCACTTCAAAGTTCTATTATTATGTAACATTTTGGTAGGCATATCTATATGTTATTTACATAAATATTTATAGCTTCTGCTTAATAGTACCTTCTTCCCCACATCTAAGAGGGCCCTAAAACATCTGTTGTTTAATTTACTAACAACTTGCTTTCCAGTATAACATTCATGATGGCTCAAAATAAAAGGACACAGCTTCTTTCACAAGTCCAACCTAGTATCACCCTACATCATGCTCCTAAAGCAATGAGTAATTCACAATCCTAATTTTTCCATTACATTTATTGTCATTTAGAACCCTGTAGCTTTTACATCTGGCAAAAAAAGGGAAAAGTCAATAGTATTTTTTATAAATGAAAAAAACAATAATAATAATAAAATGGCATACTAATATCACAACTTATGAGAAAATGAAAAATACAATAGAACTGCAAATTCAATTCATATTCCAGATATACACATTCTTTTGAGACTTAATTAATTCTTGCCTACTTTTTGTCTTCGAGTTTACAGTACTCCACAAGCCACTTTCAGAACTGTAACCATCCTATAAAATCACTGTTTATTGAAGTGTAAAACCAATATCAATGTATTCAGTGCAACTGCTATGGTAGGTAAACACTTATGATAAAAAGGAGAAGATACAAAACATCAAAACAAACAAAGATCCTCAAAGAAATATTTATGATAACAAGTCACATCACAAGTGCATAACCTAGCCTGGTTGAAAATTACCAACAGATACAAGTAGTTTGCAACGCTTAATAGTAAAAAGACTTTTCGCTATCATTTTAATCACTGCGGCCAGAGTCGTCCTGGACAAAACTTCTGCTAGGCAACCTGAAGCTTCTGGAAGTTGTTGGCCATCTCGAGCACTTTGCTGTTCCTTGAAACTGGTGGTCGAGTCTGAAATACAGTCAAACATGACAGTATGTTAAACATGGATATACATTAAACTACAGGCATATACTGAACTAAAAGCACAATATAAAAGGTATCCTTGTGTATAATAATACCCCATATTTGTTAAGAAAGTAATGAAAAGACAAAATATCACAGAAAACAGGAAATAAAAAGGTATTTTTAAAGCTACTCATCTATTTTTTAAGAAAGACTACTTTCATCTTAGAAAGGAATAGTATATACACAATACATACAATAAAACTGCAATGACAACTTTAACATCAAAACATATTTTAGTTTCTCATTCCAAACTGCAAGTGATCAAGCCTTTATTGGAAGAGGATCAAAATGCAATATTTAGCAAATTTAATAGGTTACAGTAAGAAATAGATAGCATTACTACTTTACTTGTCACTCCATTTCCTCTCTGAGAGGTAATATAACTGCACTTAAACTTTTAAAGATTAGAAAAAAAGCATTTAAATGCCAAAGCAGTTTATGGAAAAAAGGAAAAAAAACTTCACTCATCTCTGCTTATGAATCCTCTGTTTCCCAATATCCATCTGTACTCACCTCAATAATTATTTCTTCAGTGTCCGGAGTCTTACTCTGCTTCAGCCTCCCTTCTCTGCGCTGCCTCACAAGCACCCTCCAATCTTCAGCCGCTTGCTGAGCTACTCCATGTTCAGATTTGCCAGGGCTACCACTCACAGAAGTATTAACAGTATTTTCTGCTAAGGTGTTTGTGACTGCAGTAGTTGGGGCTTGAGAATCGGTGTGAGCAACACTTGAAGGTGACTGGGTTCGTACAGTGACAGTAAAAGATGGAGCAGCACTACGAGTTTCTGTTGCTGGTGCCGATGATGGTTTAGACAGCAGTGACACAGTTCCTGGGGAAGAGGGCACTGGTGCAGTTGATACTGAACTTACATTCTGAGATGGAGGAGTTGCTGGTGCTTGTGGACGGTCTTTACCTCCACTCATAAATCTTCGTCGTGCTGCCCCTATGTCTAGAGGTGATATTTCTACAGGCCCTTCTTTACTCTCAGTAACTTCTGCTGGTTTCACATCTTCAGATTCACTTACTGATGATGGACTCCTTGACACCTTTTTGGACTGAAGTCCTGCAACATTGGTGTGTGAGGTGTGAGACAAATGTACCGCAGGCTGGGTTTCTTCTTGTGGCTGTGGACGTGGTGGCCAGACAATACTTGAACCAGATCTGCCAGATACAGAAAGCTTTGCTGGAGGTGGTGTGGCTGGAGCACTTTCTTGTTCATTTTTGTTAACTTCATTGGTTGCTGTTACACTTGAACTTCTACTGATGATCTTACTATATATGGATGAATTGGAAGTGGTAACTGTAACCCCAGCCTCTGATGTCACCATGGCATTTGATGAACGTACAGTGGGACCGTGAATGGGGGCAGTTACTGGCTTGTTGACTGATGCATTATTTGGTGTGGTGATAGTGGTAATGCTTCGACTTGCACTACTACTGATCATCGTGCTGCTAGTTGTAGTGATGTTGCTAATATTCCGAGAAGTGCTGACTGCATTACTGGTTACATCTGTGCTCATTGGTAGTGGGCTGGTATTGCCAGACACAACCAGCACTGTTGCTTTGGGTGATCCAGGTGCAGCTGTAGATGTATTTGTAATGGGCGGTGGACAAAAAGCCAGAGCTGGATTACCAACTGATTTGCGATTGAAGGAAATGGTGTTCAGACTTGGCTTTTGATGCCCTGCTGTGAGAGATATTGAGGTTGCAGGCAATGCTGTCTCTTTACTTGGTATAGGGGAAGCAGGTGAGGCAACAGGAGCTCGAGTAGGTATGACGGTGACCTCTGATACTTCGCTTGTTTCTTCTATATTCTCCTCTTCTTCATTATCACTTTCTTGGGACTTTTCCTTCTCAATATCCTTAACTTTGAAGGATCTACGAGCAAATACCTTAAACAACTCAGGCTGCTCATTCTTGGAGGAAGTACCCTGGCTAGACATAGAGCTAGCACGCTCCATCAGTGGCGCTCTCTCAGACACTAAAGGTTTTCGTAATACAACACGTTCCACAGTAGAGTCTGGAGTGGTTCCTTCCACATTTGAATCTGAATCTACAATTTCTACATTTCCGCTGGATGGTGAAACATCTCTCAGTGATCCTTTACTGAACTGAGCGCTTCCTCTCTTGTTAAGTGAAGATGACTTACCATCCTTTGATTCAGACCTGTAAACTGCAGCACCATCAGACAATTCTGTCATTGAAGTTTCCTTGACAGACAGATCAGCCTGACTTCTTGGAATTTCCTTGTCTTTTCCATCAACTTTAATACCTTTCTCTTGCTCTGTCTCATATACAACACTCTGACCTTTACTTTCCACCCTATTAAGCTGAATCCTCATAAACTCAGGTACAGGATCTGGTTCTACTTCACGTGGAGGAACTCGTTTCATGCTTGGCTCCTTCTTGAGAGGACGACGAGGTGTACGTTCTCCCTCTGGTTCACTTTCATCAGTTCCAGAAACGGGATGTCCTGCATCATCTCCCTGCAAGGAATGGGAACGTAGTGCCTGCTTTGGTGATACCCTGTCAGCTGGTTTTATTTCTGCACTGATATTCTTTGATACCAATGTCTGTTTGATTTCTGTTGTTTTGTGAACAACAGGGTCTGGAACTTCAGAATCCTTAACTGGATGCCATGAACCTATAACATAACTCACATGGTCCACACTTGATGCCTTACGCATATGTTCATCTGATTCCCTTGTATGCAAAGATATACTAGAGTCCAATGACAAAGGCCCAGAACCTGAATCCTGGTTCCCTTGCTGCAAGTAATGGCTTTGTTGAAACTGATCTTGATGCTTTGTAATCCCTACCCTATGTTGGTTCTGGGAGTGTTGACGTATAAATACGCCCGGGATCTGTGTGCTTGTGAGTGAGTCTGTTGATGAACGTTGTGGTGAGGTAGACAAGATTTCTGTACTAGAAGTTCCACTTGAATTGGCAGTGTGTGTTAACTTCGAGTCACTTTCATTGTCCAGACTCTCAAAGGAAGCTGATATTCTTGAAATCTTGCTAGATATGCTAATTCTCTCCTCCACATTACTCTGAGATGAAACTTTGCGATGTATTGGTTCTCTTTGTGTCTCTGGCTGTCCTGCAACTTCTCTGAAGCTTTTCACTTTCCTCACCCCACTGAAAGGCCTCGAGGGACGATCTTCGTAAGACGAAATTTGGAAAGCAGACTGCTGACCAGGACCGGTGCTCTCTAGCCGTCCTTCTACACTTGACGAGCGTGGAGTCTGTGGTGGCGAAGATGATGACTCTTTATAAGGTCTCTCCCGACTAGGATCTCTTGCTCGACCAGAAGGAGGCAGAGGATGAGAATCATTGTGTGCCTTTGTGGAAGCTCGCCCCAGCATAGAGAACCTTGAGCCAGAAGAGTCTCGCCTTTTCTCCCTTGAGGCTCGTTGGTCTCCTCCTCTCCGGAGAGGACTGACACTGTTTTCGCGGCTGTCATCGCCATTGCCACGTGATCGTCGTCGTCCCGAGCGCACACTACCAAAGAGGCGCTGAAGTAGAGGCTCATCTTTCTTCTCCTCTTTATCCTTCTTTTCTGAATCCCGTCGCTCAATGCTGATGTGCTGCTCATGAGAGGGGCTGCTATCTTCATCTGTACAAAAAGGGTTTTGGAATAAATGGTAAATGTATGCTACATTTGTGGTCATCAGATGATCTTAAATACTTTCAGATTATTCATCAAAGATTTTTCATTCCTTTTTACAAAATAAAAAAAAGTAACACCGATAATAACTAAACATATTAGAGCAATGTGTCATACCATAAGCAATATGAGAAGTTAACTCTGTAGGAGTTGATGGAGACACAGATGTAGGAACCTTCGAGGGAGTCCCAGATTTTGTACTGGCATCCTCATTCACTTCTGGTGTTGTGGGAAGACTCCTCTGTCCACCAATCTGTCAAACAAGAAGGAACATGTACAACACAATATATCGCAAATATATAAATCTGATTATTAGTAGTTTCCTTTCTATGGGAAGTTTATATCATTAATTTCACCAAAAAAGTTCCTATACCCCTACATTACTTCCAGTTAAGATGTAGCTGCTTACCTATGACAAAACAAGCATTTGTGCAATAACAAAGGTATCTCGCCAATAGTATTTAATAATTAGATATATTTTACTTCTATTTATTACTATCAATGCTTCTGCTTGGAAACATGCATTACATTATCTTCCAATATAATAATCTAATCTACCTGCACTTCCCGGCTTCATATTACATTTGCTCTAAAAGTAAACATGTTAGCAGTCAACAGACCAAATATCTGTGCAAATAACCTGGAATATTTTTGCATTAAAGAATACTATACCATATTGGTAGTAAATAAATCTCTAAACAGTTTGTTGAGTAACGAATGAAAATTTTGTTTTTTAATCACACTACAGTAGTCATTAAAAAAAGGGAGGGGAGAGGGAAACGGAGAGGAAGGGAGAGGGGGAGAGGGAGGAGAGGGAGGGGGGAGAGGGAGGAGGGGGGGGAGAGAGAGAGGGAGGGGAGAGGGAGAGGGAGAGGAGAGGGGAGGGAGAGGGAGAGAGAGAGGGAGAGAGAGAGAGAGAGAGAGAGAGAGGGAGAGGAGAGAGAGAGAGAGAGAGAAGAGAGAGAGAGAGAGAGAGAAGAGAGAGAGAGAGAGAGAGAGAGAGAGAGAGAGAGAAGAGAGAGAGGAGAGAGGAAGAGAAGAGAGAGAGAGAGAGAGAGAGAGAGAGAGAGAAGAGAGAGAGAGAGAGAGAGAGAGAGAGAGAGAGAGAGAGAGGAGAGAGAAGAGAGAGAGAGAGAGAGAGAGAGAGAGAGAGAGAGAGAGAGAGAGGAGAGAGAGAGAGAGAGAGAGAGAGAGAGATGAGAGTTGAGAGAGAGAGAGTGAGAGAGTTGAGAGAGAGAGAGAGAGAGAGAGAGAGAGAGAGAGAGAGAGAGAGAGAGAGAGAGAGAGAGAGAGAGAGAGAGAGAGAAGAGAGAGAGAGAGAGAGAGAGAGAGAGAGAAGAGAGAGAGAGAGAGTCCATACATCTATCTCGCTCTCTCTCGGTGACAAGATCCTCTCACAAAAACATTCCTGACAGTTCTTCAAACACGAAGTCTATCAACCCTGGGAAAAAAAAGACTGATATACCCGTACGCTGCGGCAATGGACAACCTACATCAAAATAGAGACGATCAACTGACAGGTTTATAGAAGGTAATTTTTCTTTTTTTATTATTGGTCTATGTCTCAATCCCATCAATGCTTCGAGTTCAAATAGTAACGCTGTTTATCCATGCTATTTGTATCTTGAGTTTGTGAGTGTCGAGGGAACACTGACCTTCGCCCTATAGCGAACAAGGCGACAAACCAGTTCTTAATCTATTTCACACAAACACTCCAGTTATATTTAAAGACACCTTTCACAATGTGCGTGCGGGATCAACATAATCTAACTAGATATGCAGCGAGGTTTTAAAAATCGAATCAAATGAGTTTCTCATAAAATTGGAACATTTCACAATATGCATGCAGGATCAATAAAATCTAACTGTAGAAATTTCTGCAATATTTTACGAACCAAACCGAACTAGTTCCTCACAAAAAAAAAAAAAACAACCACAGGTAATCACAATACGCATGTATAATCAACCTAATCTAACTGCAGACTTTCTTCGAGGTCAAGCGCCCAAAGCCAAAGCCTCCCACCAAATTCGAAACAATCACAGATAATCAGAAGCAACGTAAACTACACAGGACAAAGGGGACCCCGTGTTATCAGCGTCCGTGAAGTGCTTCGATAAAGGTTACAGAACCGACGAGTGACGGCGGCGAGAGTGAGCCCGATGAAGTCCGGGGAGAATCTTCGGCGCGACATCAGTGAGATAATACAGGCGGGACAAAGCTCGAATCGCGTGGAGGAAGAACTTTCTAAAACGTTTAACAGGAATTCAGGTATTCACGTGCGAGGAGGGGGAGGAGGAGAGAGGAGGAGGAGGAGGAGGGAGGAGGAGAGGAGGAGGAGGAGGAGGAGGAGGAGGAGGAGGAGGAGGAGGAGGAGGAGGATTAGGAAGAAGAATAAGTTGAGGAGGAAAAAAAAATATGAGGAGGAGGGGGGAAGGAGGAGAGGAGGAGGAGGGGGGAAGGGAGGAGAGGGGAGGAGGGGAAGGGAGGAGGAGGAGGAGGAGGAGGAGGAGGAGGAGGAGGGAGGAGGAGGAGGAAGGAGAAGAAGAAGAAGAGAAGAAGAAGAAGAAGAAAAGAAGAAGAAGAAAGAAGAAGAGAGAAGAAGAAGAAGAAGAAGAAGAAGAAGAAGAAGAAGAAGAAGAAGAAGAGAAGAAGGAGAAGGAGAAGAAGGAGAAGAAGGAAGAAGGAGAAGGAGAAGAAGAAGAAGGAAGAGGAGAAGGGAAGAAGAAGAAAGAAGAGAAGAAAGAAGACGAAGAATAACAACAACAAAAACAACAACAACCAACTAGAAAAACAAACAAAACCCCAACACCCCCCAACCCACCCCCAAGACCCAAAGCAAGCAACGGGGCTCACCTGCGTGGACCTCCTCATGCGGGGCGCGCCGTGGGTCCTCTTTGGTCTGATGGAGATCTTGTGGAAGGCGGCCTGGTGGCTGAGGGGGGCGGCGCCGGCCACGGGCTCGTGATCTGCGGAGAGGGGAGAGTCAGAACATGGGGAAATGGGGGGTGATGGGGGGAGAGAGTGAGTGGGTGAGTGGGGAGGAAGGGGGAGTGGGAAGTGGGGAGGAAGGGGGGGAGTGGGAGTGGGGAGGAAGGGGGGAGAATGGGGGTGATGGGGGAGAGAGGAAGTGGGGAGGAAGGGGAGAATAGGGGGTGATGGGGGGAGAGGGAGTGGGGAGGAAGGGGGTGATGGGGGAAGAAAGGGAGTGGGGAGGAAAGGGGGAATGGGGGGGGGGGGAGAGTGAGAATGGGGAGGAAAGGGGAGAGAGGGAATGCGGAGGAAGCGGGGATGGGGAGAGTCAGAACATGGGGGGAAATGGGGAGTGATGGGGAGAGAGGGAGTGGGGAGGAAGGGGGTGATGGGAGAGAGAGGGAATGGAGGGAAGGGAGTGATGGGGGAGAGAGGGAATGGAGGGAAGGGGGGAAGGAGGAAGGAGGGTAATGGAGGGAAGGGGGGAATGGAGGGGAGGTAATGAGGGAAGGAGGTAATGGAGGGAAGGAGGGTAATGGAGGGAAGGGGGGAATGGAGGGAAGGGGGGGAATGGAGGGAAGGATGAATGGGAGGAGGGGGGAATGGGGTTATGGGAGACATTGCCAAATTCCACCCTGACACCATATGACCTTTCACCAACAAGTGCAACGCTACGACCCAGAACCATACATTTCCTATGTTTTAACTACACATTTGTTAGCATTTCAGCTGCATTGTGCAACTTCATAAAAATAACTGAGGGAGAAGTCACAGTTCACTTGTTCTTGCTTCTCAATTTTATTAATTTATTTCTCCATTCACCATGGTCATTATCATAATCATTATCTTCGTCATCACTGCCATTACCATCAGCAGCATTATCGCTACTCGTATCACTAACGTCAGCACTATCATTATCATTGTCATCGTCTCTGTTCTCATCCTCATGATGACGATCTTCCCCATCATATCATTATTAATAACATTATGATTATCAAGGTCACTGTGATGATCATTGTCATAATCATCATTACTAATTAATTTACAGTTACATTGGGGTTGATGTGACGTAAGAAAAAAACGAAACGTACTGGCAATAAAATTAGACCTGATTATATATTTTTTTTCTTTTTTATTCACGATCTGAGTTCAATGAGACAAATACAGACGAGGTGTTAATGAAAATGAATAATTAAGAAAAGAGTTATTCCTTCTCATTCAAACCTTTCCTCAATTTCTTTCATCCATCGTAAGATTTTATGGTCACGCTAGGTTAGTTTTTTGCGTCCTTTTTTTTAATTACCTTCACTTTGCAAATCTTGTTGATAAAAGTTTTCATTTCTATATATTCTTATTATCATTATTTTTCTTACGGTAAAACAAGAAAAATCGTAATAGGCACAAAATAGTCGTCTTCTGTAGATGTCAAGATGTAATTGAGTCGTTACTTTATTGTGTTAAAAGCCTGTTCAAAACTATGTTTGATTTTGGTTATAATTATCATAAAGTTTTTCGGTTATAATTATCACAAGGTTTTGGCTATAATTATCATCAAGTTTTGGCCTATAATAATCATCAAGTTTTTGGCTATAATGATCAAGTTTTTGGCTATGATTATCAAATTTTTGGCTATAATGATCATCACGTTTTTCGCTTTAATTACCATAAAAAATTGGCTATAATTATAATGGGGTCTTTGGCTATAGTTATCATAAAGTCTTTTGGCTATAATCATTATCATTTGGCAACGATTACCCAATCCTTAGCAATGATTATCACCCTTGGCTCAAGATCTATAATCAACAAGATCTATAATACGATATTAATAAAACCACACCCAACGGACACCACATAAAATTCCTCCAACACAAACCACCCAACACCCAGCCACCAAAACGCCCTCGACCCCCAAAAAGCATATAAAAAAATGAAAAAAAAACTTCCCGCGTCAATTTACCTCTAAAACAACACGCCCTTCGCCCGGCACGGTTATAAAGGACAACACAAAGCGTTATTTAAGCACCAAATCGCCCTTACGTAACACGAGATAAAGCACCTGCTCTCAGTGCCGCTTGCAAATCTTATCGTCATTTCTGATAGTACTGTTTAGTGGGTATACGATATGCCCCGGTGTAGCAGCCCAGGCTATACCCCCGCCCAGGCTATACCCAGGTATAAAATAGGCTGGGCTAGAATATACCCCTTCCCTTTGGCATGTAACAAGCACATTACTACATTACCAGAAGATAGTGGTTGGTGATAGTGCCACTCATGCTGTGATCTCACAACTGCAGAAATTCCGTGTGCATGTCCTTAGTTTTATAGTTATTGTTTGACGAATGAACAGTTTTATTATTTTTGATAATACTATCATTACCATTATAATTATCATTATTGTTATTTTCATATCATCATTATTAGTATCATCATTTTTATCATCATCATCATTATAATCAATATCATTATCATGATTATTATCATTATCATCATTATTTGAATTTATCTAGGGGGCCAGATCCGTAATATCTTAAGATCTTCAAAAGTCATTATAATCATAATAATTATCATCATAACACATATTTCACAAGTTGAGTCCTCTAGAATTCATCAGAGAGAATATCTGCAGCTGTGAGATCACCGCATGATCGACCTTAATCCCAGCAATAATTTTCTGGCAATATAGTAATATACTTACTTGGTACATACAAAAGAGAAGGGGCACATCCTAGCCCAGCCCATTTTATACCCGGAGACATGAACTAGCCTCGCCTAACTTGTACCCCGGGTATAAAACAGCCGAGCCTAAAGTAACCCCGGGTATATTCTGGGGGGGGGGGGGGGGGGGTGTAGTCTGGGCTGTTACACCGGTAATAGACCGAGATAATTGAGGTAGTGAGA